AATTGTTATAGTAATTATCATGTTTTTTTAAATAACTTGCAAAATCCTGTAAAATGACAGATATTAACTATAAATGAACAACCCAAAACATTATTTTAAGTATTTTGACAATAACAACAAATAACGTTTATTTCCTTTTTTTTTTACAGTAAATTTACTATATAATATTTACAGTATTTTTGCACTTTCAGAAAATACATGAAGATGTACGTAAAATAAAATGTTTTTTTCTGTAATTAAATATGTAACTCGTAATATAAAAGTGTATTACTATTATAAGACTTTAAGATTTTCTTTGTAATTTTAATATAAACATAAAACTGTAAAAAAAAGCGTAAAATAAAAAAAACGTAAAATGTAAGTAATTTTTTTTTACATAAATCATTTTCTCAATATCAATCAATCAATCAATCAATCAATCAATCAATCAATCAATCAATCAATCAATCAATCAATCAATCAATCAATCAATCAATGTTTATTTATATAGCCCAATATCACAAATGTTACATTTGTCTCAGTGGACTTTACAGTTTACAATATTCGATTGAATCCACCACAAACACAAAATATCCAATGTTGAAAAAAAAGTAAATATATATGTTTTCATGAAATTCCTAACTTACTATATTGTAAACATCTACAGTTGACAATATCATGAAAAAAAATTAAAATCATAGAAAGTGGAGAAATCTCTGCAGGGAGGACCAAGGTTTAAAACACACACTGTTATTTACTCAACAATAAGTCACAGTTATCCTTGTTTTATTTATGTTGCTGTGTTTTTTTCCATTGGTCAATTTACAGTAATAAACCTTAGTTTTACAGTATAATGTATGGTTTTCGGATTCTGGCCGACAGCCAGAGCTACGGCACTTGAAATAGAATTCAGCCAAACACGGCAGACAAGTCAGGCATGTTTGGAATGAGTCCACAACACTCCTGATTGGTTAATATAAACGTCATCGAAGAAACCTGCCAATGAGAACTGTCCGCGCCTGTCGTTCACATTTGAAACATCCAAGTCAGTTTGAGCGGGTCTCCTCCTGCTGGAGCTACAGCTGTCTGTGTGTCTGTTACAGGAGTTTATGGATTCATATCGGGATCGTTTTACATCTACACGTTAAATATGAGCATCGGGACGTCAACAAAGAACAGAAGACTTGAGATCTGGTGAGTCCGGCAACTGTAATGGAGTTAAACATGTATTTAGATAATCCTTACTTAGTTTGTGAATGTTTTATTTTGTATTTAAGGTTACGTTTCTTCTTCTAGTTAGCTGAGTTTCTTCCCGTTAAGTTTTTATTCATCATTAATAGGTTGTTAAATGTTAAGAATCCCTGAGATGCTGTTTCTTGCAAGATGTTGCGCCCGGGAAACCCGGCTTAACATGCGGCTGCTAACGTTAGTTTACAGTTTATTGCAGTGCCACCCCCCCCACCCTCTCGTCTCCAACACGGGAGAATTACACATAAACATGCAGTGGGTTGTCACAGTGTTGTCGCCAAGTTTAATGTAAAGTTTCACAGCTTTCTTACAGCGGAATCTAGTTTGTTAATGTTCAGTAGCCAACAGCTAGCATAGCATAAACAGCTAACCGCTAACGTTCGGCTAACTTGCTAGTTAGCTCTGCTCTATATATTACACGCTAACATGACTAGCTAATGTCACACTGTGAACTAAAATACTTTTTGTATTACTACATCATACATGCTTGGTCCAAATCACTGCTAAAATTAATTATTTTTGAAAATGTATAGTAAAGAAACACTCAGCCATGCATGAAATAACATAGCAAAATAATACGGGTAATGTTTGACCCATGTTGTGCCTTAGAAGTGTAGTGATACAAACATGATTTTTATTAAAAAAGTAAGAAAGGGAAAAATTAAAATTTAGAATTGGTGTTGATCCAAAACATGTTAATTGAGGAATACCTGGAATCCTGAATGGTTCAAGTAATTTATTGCAAAGATATTTACAATTAAAACTAATTCGGGTCACTTTTGACACATGTTGGTTGTATGTTGTGTAACAAAGGGTTAACATGACAGCTGTGATGTTCACTCTTTTGACAGAGCACCAGTGGACAGTGAGGACTATGGAAGAGAAGATGTGATGGCTTTGTGTGGAAAGCTGCTGAAGCCAGCCTGTGTCCCTCTCATCAGTCTCTCCAGGCAGCACCCAGCTATTCTTCCATCTTGCAGATGAAAAGACTTTGATATGTGAGTAATAACTAACTTGTGTCTAATAGGGCTGCAACAAACGACTAATTTGATAATCGATTAATCTATCGATTAATGAGAAACGATTAATCGACTATTCGGACTATTACTGTATGCCTTGCACAATTTCTCAAACGCTCTTATTTAGCCATCAACTTTTATATTTAGCTTGAGGTTGTTTTAGGCATGTGGAAACTAACAATGAAGACAATAAAGATGAATACTTGATTCAAAAATACATATATTATTAAATTAACTAAACACATTTTGAACAAAATTAACATAGCTTTTTATTTAAATAAAATAAATAATATTTCACATGAAAAGAAACAACAGTGTTTAAACAAATCGTATTAAATAATGTGATGCTGAAACTTTAACAAACTAAATAACTCTGTTACCTCTAATCATTAACCCATGTTTGTATGATGGAGTTAACTCCGTGGGCTGCTAGCATACATAACACCTGACGTGGAAACATTACTCTTGGATGGGGCTACAGAGCTACTAGAAAGACAGTCGAACCCGGTGCATTCCTCCGTCTGAATGTGGTTCACTTTTGCTAAATGTTTAGACAGATTGCTCGTTTTACCGCCCTTACATGCTAAACTCTTATTGCACTTTTGGCAACGAGCATTGTCCACATTGAGACGGCTAAAGTTTAACCACACCTTGGAGCGCTTTCTGTGTTGCTGCATGTGGCAGCTGCGTGTGTGTAAACCGCCCCGCCCCCTCGCACACAGACTGGGGAGAGAGAGATCTCGTCTGATCAAAAATACATCATAGACGCATTTTTTTGTCTTTTTGCATATTAGAAACGAGTTGGCGACACTAACGGCCCGTCTACACTACAGGCGTCAAAAAATGCTTTCAACGCTTCGCCCATTCATTTGAATGGGGTGACGTAGGATATTTTCAAACTTCGCCGAACTGCATTGTGGGTAGCTTGGCAAGGCGTTGCAAGCGTCGCGAGCCTCAAAAGTTGAACATTGTTCAACTTTTGAGGCTCGATGCTTTCTCGAAGCTGGCGTCAGCCAATCAAATCCCGTTTTTGCAATTCCCGCCAGTACAAGCGCTAGTCAATCAAACCGCGTGTATGCTGATCCCGCAGGTCTTGACTATTTTCCATATGTGATAAAATGGAGGACAAATTAATCATTGCTGTGGAAAATGTCCCAGTCCTGTATGACTGTACTCTGTTCACCTACCGGGACCTAAACCGGAGGAACCAGGCATGGCGGGAGGTGGCAGAGACAGTTGGTGAAACTGGTAGGTTTTCAACTGTTTGGGGAGTTTATATCCAGTTTACTTCGTTTTAGCATTGAATGGACAGCTAGTAATGTAGCATAATAACATATAATATATATTAATATAATAATAAAAAAACATTATAATAAGCATAATATATAACATAACATATAATACATGCACAGCTATCAAGCATAGACAGTATATTTAGCCAGCTAGTAATGTAGCATAACATATAATGTATATTAATACAAAAATATTATATATAATATAATAAGTATAAGCATAATATATAACATATAATACATGCAGAGGGTGTCGTTTTTCTCATACTGATATTCTGAACAATCTGTGCTGTTGTATTTGCTGTAAAGTGTCTCTACTGTAGGCTAATTTTATTATATGTACAGCACTTTGGCTCGACCAAAAATCGTTTATAAATGTGCTATATAAATCAAACTTGATTTGATTCACAGCTATCAAGCATAGACAGTATATTTAGCCAGCATGGAATGTAGCATACAAATAGCATTCATTAATGGAGGAATAATTTAGTAAATTCAAGACATTCACTTTATTATTTATTAACTTTATTATTTTATTAGATAATGTCTGCAAGAAGAGATGGAAGAGTCTGAGGGACAGGTTCCGCAAGGAAAATAATATGGAGAAGGAGGCCAAAAGAAGCGGGGCAGGGGGGTACAAGCCCTGGCGTTTCATGGCAGTGATGGGGTTTTTAACCCCATTCATCATAGACCGTGAGACGTCCAGCAATGTCCCCCGGCAGACCCTGCCTCCATCCACCCTGGTGGCAGAGGAAGAGAGCCAGGTAGACAGTGAGTCAGCCAGCCAGTCCACCAGCCAGCCAGTAGCAGTCAGCCAGGAGGAGAATGCTGAGGTCTGGGGCAAAACACGGGGGAGGGGGAGGGAGATGTCCCAGTTTGAAAGAAGTCTGCTGTCAGCAATTACCCAGCAATTGCCCAGCCAACCCCACCAGTGGTGGAGGAGGACGAGGACTTGCAATTTTTTAAGAGCCTCTTGCCCACCATGAGGCAGATGACAAGGGCACAGAGGGCAAGAGTCCGCCTCGGGGTACACCAAATAATTTTTGACGTGGACCAGCAGAACAATTTATAATTTAATAATTTTTTCACACATACTGATCCACATTACATTTTTTTACACTCATCACTCATCACACACACTTCACTCAAATTCACCAAATAAAACATTATTTCAAGTATGTTATGGCTATACTGTGTCTTCACTTGTTCATGTGGTTTGTCAGTTGCAACATACCATAAGCTTCATGTATGTCAGTATATATAATGTGCTTTCTTCTGTAATTGGTCATGTGAAAACCTATTGAAATTATGAGTGGTTTATCAGTAAAAACAGGGCTGAAAGAAAAAGGTTGTTAGTCATATCATGATATAATAATATCAATTCAAGAAACATGTTTATTAGGAATGTTTGATTTTAAAATGGCTCATTTGGAATATTTGCTCTTTAAAGAAAATGGGTAGCTCTTAAAAGAGCTTTTGGTTTGGAGGAGCCATGGTGACCCTACACCACTTTATGCTGCCATGACACTACACCCTCCTCATTCAAATAGGAGCAGAAGGTCTCCCGCAGTTGGATGGATCGGCGTGTGGCGTTGTTTGAGCCCATCATAGGTGCATCGCGCAGGGTTGGAGCTTCATCACTCGACTCTGCGACGACAGGGACGACAGGTGTGTGTGATGACCTTCCTATTGTCTTCCTGCGGAGGAAGTTGTGCAACACACAGGTGGCCTTCACACACAACTCTGTTACCTCCGGGCTGGTGGTGATGACACGCCGGAACATTCTCCACTGAGATGAGAGGATGCCAAACGCACATTCAACCACCAACCTGGCCCGGCTGAGGCGGTAGTTGAACAGCCTCCTTTCACGCGTGAGCTGACGTCCAGGGAACGGACGCAGCAGGTTGTCCAGCAGCGGAAAAGCCTCATCTCCAACAAACACATGGGGAAGAAGGCCCAGCCGCTCTGCTCCTGGGATGACGGTATCAGGTGGTAGCTGCAGACTGCCATCTCTGAGGCTCTCTCCAAAAGCGGAATTCCGCAGGCTCCCACCGTCGCTGCTCCTTCCAAAACCTCCGACATCCACTACCCTGAAGAGGTACTCAGCATCCACGACAGCCAGCAGTACCAAGGAGTGGCTGGACTTGTAGTTGAAGTAGAGGGACCCAGAATTTGCCGGAGCCTGGATCACCACGTGCTTCCCATCAATGGCACCAACGCAATTTGGAAAGTTCCAGCGCTCCTGGAACCCAGCAGCGATGGCTCTCCAGTCCTCCGTCTGTGGTACCGGCATGGTCTCCTCGACCAGCGCGGTCCAGATGGCACCCGCAACCTCCTTGACGATGACAGCCACTGTTGCATGCCCGACCCGATAGCTGAATGCTATGGTCCTGTACGAGTCACCGGTTGCCAGGTACCTGAGAAAAAGTAATATACAAGATTTAAAAAAAAAAAGTTATACGCCACGCAGACACACACACCACAGACACACACATCACAGACACACACTTCACAGACACACACACATCACAGACACACACATACACCACAGGCAGACACAAACACCACAGACACTAGGGCTGTGCGATTATGGCAAAAATCATAATCACGATTATTTGGGTCAATAATTGATATCACGATTATTTTGACGATTATTCATTGACCATTTATTGAACTTTAAAACAAATAATATTTTACCAATAAACAAGATCAACAAATATGTTGGAGCGCACTTCCAAAACCATACTAAACATATATTATTAATAAGATAAATACAAATAAATTAGACCAAAATAAATTAAATCAAATATGATGCAGTGCACTGTCACAACCTACTGAAAACTCCTTAACATATAGCCAACATTTTGGTAAAACATATTCAACATATTCCACTCAGTTAAACGTTGAAGGCTGGCCCACCGTCATGGTCCAGAAGTAACAGGAAATAAATGTTGAACTACAATTTAAGACCAAATAAAAATGTTTTGGCCCCCATGGCAAATGCTGGTAGGGCTGCTCATGTCATCTCTTAAAGATTTTTTGCAATAAACACCAGCCTGTTTACATGGTCTGGTTTCAGAGATGAGCGCAGGCAGGTGACGATATTGCCACCTGTACTGAAGACCCTCTCTGAAGAGGAACTTGTGACAGTGCTGCCACATACTGTATGACACAGGAAAAAAAGAAAAGACTCTGAACCCTTTCTTTGCCATTATATAAAAATAGTGTTGCTACAAAAGTATAAATGAGGCTTACTAATAAGACAACTCAGATCTGAAGCTACACAGGAATCTGCTGCAACAGTGCAATAAAAAAGACAACATTAATAGAATCAAACCCTTTTTTTGTTGCATTTTAGTAGAGTATAAAAAGAAATGCCTTTAAAATAGAAACACTAGTTTCTTAACCTGAATTGATAATAGACTATAATCAATTTAAACAGAACAGATCTTAATGTTTGCATTCTTATACCATGTTGTACAATAATTATAATGAATAAGTTCAAACAAACTCAAACTTACAGCTGATTAATAACGGTATCTAACTTGAGTTTTTATTATATCAAAAACCTGTTGAAATGCTGCTGTTATTTTTACTGTCCCCAGAAATGCTTCTTTCACAACTTCGCCGTCTTTGAAAGACTTCGTGTGTTTCGGAAGAACGTGACTGACACGATAAGATGCTATGGTAGCAGCCTTGCTCTTGTTGTTGGGCCTGGTGAAAATGGACTGCTGTGCATTTAGCTGTCCTTTCAGGCCCCTCCCCTTTTGGAGCGTAGGGCAGAATTAGGAGGGAATTCCGTCTCGTAGCGTTTGTGCACTGTTTTGAAATGCCGCTCCTAAATTACCCTTCTTCGATAAAGCCACGCTCGCATTGCAGATGAGACAGATGGAGTTTGAATTGGAATAGATACAAAAATAATGATCCTCCCACTTGGAGTGAAAATTATATATTTTGGGCTTTTTTGCTTCTGCCATAATTGCGGTCTTGTGTGTGTGCGGACTGTCACTGCACTGCCCACTGCCCACCAGCCACGCCGGCCAATCACAAAGCTTTGATGCGTTCAAGTGCATTATTCTGGCACAGGAAGATTATGTTACAGGACTTTAACGATAAAACAGAATATTGTTATTCTATTTTTAGACACATCTCGCGATCGACTAGGAATCTCCCCGCGACCCTTCTTTTTAACGAGTTGCTGCTCTTGTTCTGACATCTTCGCTCGCGCTGAACACATGTCACTCCCACGTGGCCGAGTGGGCTTTTAGGGAGGGGCGAAAGCACACCCAGCAAAATAATCGTATTTTGTCAATTATGCTGTTTTCATAATCGTCACAAGCCATAATCGTAATCGCGATTAAAATACGATTAATTGCACAGCCCTAACAGACACACACACCACAAACACACCAACATACCACAGACACACACATCACAGACACACACACCACAGACACACCAACATACCACAGACACACACATCACACAGACACACACAAATCACACACACATCACAGACACACACATACACCACAGGCAGACACAAACACCACAGACACACACATCACAGACACACACATCACAGACACACACACACCAGACACACACATCACACAGACACACACACCACAGACGCACACACCACAGACACACACACCAACATACCACAGACACACGCATCACAGACACACACACACCACAGACACACCAACACACCACAGACACACACACCACAGACACACACATACACCACAGGCAGACACACACACCACAGACACACACACACACACACACACACACACACACACACACACACACACACAGGGGAGCAATACTGCGTTTACCTAGCTATCTTAATTAATGTCATTCATCTGAACTACATCACAGACTTCATTCATCCATTGCATGCATTCTCTCTCTTTATATACAGAGTCATATTAAAGAAGTAGAAATACACAAAAGGTACCGTAGGCAGATGGCGAGTCGCTCGGCGGGTCCGATTGACAAACGCATACGGGTGTCTGCCTTTGCAATCAGTGGACCGACTTTTCCGAGCAACTCGTCGAATGCGTCTTTGGTCATCCTGAAGTACTGCTGAAACAGTACACCATCCAGGCGGAGCTCTTGGACAAGAACGTGGTATTCCCCCCCGTTGCAGACGTTTTCTGAGTATTGTATGTACCCAACAGCGACGCACTATACGTGGCCTCCTGCGAGACATTGCATAAACCAACGCTACCGTTGCTACAAAACCGGCATCCATTTTGGCAATAGTGTAGAATAACCGGGCTTTTTTTTGCTTTGTATGCTGGGGGCGGGCGGGAGATTCCTGATTGGTTGTTGGGCGCGAGAAAGCGCCAAGCCTCAGACACGCCCAGCTTCAAGCTTTTTCGACGCCTGTAGTGTAGACGGGCCGTAAGACTGCGATATAATGTTTTTGTAGCAATAATACATGACATATATTTTTTAAATGTCTCCAGTACCGATAAAAAGACCGATAACGTTGGAGCTTAACGGTGCGTAAAACACATGTGATGACGTCACCAACGAATCGACGACTGAATTAGTCGGCAACTCATTTGGTAATCGATTAAGTCGATTAGTTGTTGCACCCCTAGTGTCTAACATAATATTGAATGTGGTTTAGTAAAGTATTTAAAAATACCCCACATTGTACATGTACAGGACAATCAGACCTTGTTCAACAAAGATCATCAGACAATTGTTTTGTCTTTGAGGTACAGCCGCAGCAGAGAGTCTGAGTTTGAAGAAAACACTAACATTTTATCTAGTGTTTAATCAATCAATATTTACTGGTCTTGAATTTCCTCACTGGATTACAAAATGCTCGAATCTTATTGTACAGGAACATTATGCAGATTTCATCACCTGAAGATTAAAATATAGATTCAGCGATATGTACCATTTTAAGGAAATAGACTGTTAGCGGTATTTACCAAAGCTCCGCAGCTGTAGCTAGGCACTGCTAATGAAAACTCAAGTGCTCAATTTGTTGGTTTTTCTTTTTTATTAAGAATTGACCAAGCATATCTTCCTCTTCGAAATCCCAGTTGTACTTCGCTAACACGCAGTGCCTGGGAGGGTGCGTTTGATTGTTCCCACAATAGTGTGTGCGTGCGCTTGTGCTTCAAAGGTCCATCATACAAGATGTAGGGGATCTATTGGCAGCTGCTGATAATAACATCCATCATTATGGTTTACTAATAGTTATCACTTCACTTCCTCCTCCAGCACCTGGACACAGCAGGACCCTACGCCAGGATCCTGTTTGTGGACTTCAGCTCTGCCTTCAACACAACCCTCTGGCTGGAGGCTGCGCTCCATCAGGACCAACACCTCTCTCCATCAGGACCATCACCTCTCTAGGACCAGAACCTCTCTCCATCAGGACCAGAACCTCTCTCCATCAGGACCAGAACCTCTCTCCATCAGGACCAAAACCTCTCTCCATCAGGACCAGAACCTCTCTCCATCAGGACCAACACTTATCTCCATCAGGACCAGAACCTCTCTCCATCAGGACCAGAACCTCTCCATCAGGACCAAAACCTCTCTCCATCAGGACCAACACCTCTCTCCATCAGGACCAACACCTCTCTCCATCAGGACCAGAACCTCTCTCCATCAGGACCAGAACCTCTCTCCATCAGGACCAGAACGTCTCTCCATCAGGAACAAAACCTCTCTCCATCAGGAACAAAACCTCTCTCCATCAGGACCAACACCTCTCTCCATCAGGACCAGAACCTCTCTCCATCAGGACCAGAACCTCTCTCCATCAGGACCAGAACCTCTCTCCATCAGGACCAAAACCTCTCTCCATCAGGACCAACACCTCTCTCCATCAGGACCAACACCTCTCTCCATCAGGACCAACACCTCTCTCCATCAGGACCAGAACCTCTCTCCATCAGGACCAAAACCTCTCTCCATCAGGACCAACACCTCTCTCCATCAGGACCAACACCTCTCTCCATCAGGACCAACACCTCTCTCCATCAGGACCAACACCTCTCTCCATCAGGACCAACACCTCTCTCCATCAGGACCAGAACCTCTCTTCATCAGGACCAACACCTCTCTCCATCAGGACCAGAACCTCTCTCCATCAGGACCAGAACCTCTCTCCATCAGGACCAGAACCTCTCTCCATCAGGACCAAAACCTCTCTCCATCAGGACCAACAACTCTCTCCATCAGGACCAACACCTCTCTCCATCAGGACCAGAACCTCTCTCCATCAGGACCAACACCTCTCTCCATCAGGACCAACACCTCTCTCCATCAGGACCAACACCTCTCTCCATCAGGACCAACACCTCTCTCCATCAGGACCAGAACCTCTCTCCATCAGGACCAGAACCTCTCTCCATCAGGACCAGAACCTCTCTCCATCAGGACCAACACCTCTCTCCATCAGGACCAGAACCTCTCTCAATCAGGACCAGAACCTCTCCATCAGGACCAAAACCTCTCTCCATCAGGACCAGAACCTCTCTCCATCAGGACCAACACCTCTCTCCATCAGGACCAACACCTCTCTCCATCAGGACCAACACCTCTCTCCATCAGGACCAACACCTCTCTCCATCAGGACCAACACCTCTCTCCATCAGGACCAGAACCTCTCTTCATCAGGACCAGAACCTCTCTCCATCAGGACCAGAACCTCTCTCCATCAGGACCAGAACCTCTCTCCATCAGGACCAACACCTCTCTCCATCAGGACCAAAACCTCTCGCCACCTCAACAAGACCCGCCCCCCCCACTGACACTTTACCTCAGCCACAACGCAGACTCTATGCATTACATAATGGAGATCACAGGATGGTAAATAATGCAATGTTTAAATATTGCTTACTGCACATATTTTATATTCTATAATTTATTGCATTCTATTTCGATGTAAGTTACTGCTTTATTTTATTTCTATCTTAGTATATTTTTATTACAGTGTTCTTAATATAGTTCGCTATCTGTGTACTTTTTTATTTTTTTTATTTGTATGTATGCACCACGACACCTAGTGAAATTCCTCGTACGTGTGAACCTACCTGGCAATAAACCCGATTCTGATCTGTTTGTCCTCTAGGTTGCACTGCCACGTCTACAGTAGCGCAGAATAGACAGAGGAAACAGGATTGGGCCTCACGTTTTTTGCTGCCAATATTCATTATCCTACAAACTAGGGATAGGAGGGTGAGTGAACAAGTTATCCATTGGTTGGAACCTACATCCCCATTGTTAGACGTACTAAATCCTGCACACTTCTCCTTCAAATTGACAATGTGAACATGTCGCCATTTTGTAATTTCTGTTATTTTCAGTTGAGAATGTTTCAAAGTAATCTTAAAAAATTCAACTTACTTTTTGTTTCTACTATTTATAAGTATGATCTTTAAATATTAAATGCTGTATTCATTAGTTGTACTATAATTCTACAAATATTTTTATATTTTAAGTTTTCAGAGTAATTGTTTCCTATAGAACATTTTGTGATGTCATTTTGTTGAACCTGTTTGATTGGAAAATGTTAGAAAAAAGCTGTAAGATAACAGTATTCTAGCTGTAGTACTTTAGGTTCTGTATTTATTTTAGTGTTTGATCATATAAATCTAATTTAAAAAAAAAAAAAAAAATGTAAACTGTTTTTCTCATCAGAACTTTATTTAAGGTATTTGAATGTAACATTTTAAGACAATGGATTTTGAAAAGAGGAAAGTTTCCTCTAAAATCTTTAAGGACAATTTCTGTATACTAATTGCTTTTACACTTTATTTCAGTTAAAGTATTTTTACTTTCATTTAATGGTTTTTGTTTGGCAGCCGCTGCTGCCAGTCATTTGACCGTTTTTTTACAGGTTTTTTGCCCGTAGAAGTTTTAGTGCTGTACTTTTATTAAATGTTATTGGCTGTAAAGAGAGAATAAATCTGTAAAATTACAGTGTTTGCACGTTAAAATATTAGTGCTGTACTTTTATTAAAGGTTATTGACTGTAAAAAGAGAGGATAAATCTGTAAAATTACTGTGTTTTCCTGTACAATCTTTAAGGACAATTCCCGTAAATTAATGGCTTATTCACTTTATTTCAGTTAAAGTATTTTACTTTAATTTAAGGGTTTTTGTACTGCTGCCAGTACTTTGACCGTTTACGTTACAGTGTATGTTTCTGTGGAGGAGTCACAGAGGGACTCTTTAAACTGCAGCTATATGTTCCTGTGGAGGAGACACAGGGACTCTTTAAACTGAAGCTATGTTCCTGTGGAGGAGACACAGAAGGACTCTTTAAACTGCAGCTATGTTCCTGTGGAGGAGACACAGAGGGACTCTTTAAACTGCAGCTTTGTTCCTGTGGAGGAGACACAAAGGGCATGGTCGCAGGAAGGGGGGTGCTGAGGGCGCTGCAGCACCCCCTAGCGTTAGGCAGGGGTTGTGGAGCTCCCCTGTCTGAATTATTATTTGACGGTTATTGCTGCTCCCGCTGTGCATAATCTGTGTAATATGTTGTTGCCCCGGATAATTCTACCTCAATAATATGAGAGAGAGAGAGAGAGAGAGAGAGAGATAAAAACATCTAATTTTGACAATAAAAACCGACCAATGGGCGCGGTAGACCATTTGCTTGGCACTTCCGGGTATTTCTCCACTGGTTGGGTCATGTTAACAACTGTCACGTTTGAACGGACGAAACCGTGACATATTCACGTCTCCCAGCATGGTAGATCGTCACATGTTCACGTCTTGCCGTGATACCGGGTTGCATGTCTATGTGCCATTAGTGAGTTTTCCTTAAAAGCTGTTGCCGTGGAAACGCATCCCTCGCCGTAAAACACGATATTGCTATAACTCCTATGAAAATGTTCAAAAAGTGCTCATACTTCACGTGTGCCAACAGTCCAGCCGTGAAGACAGCTACGTGATAGTTTTGAAATGTCTTCAAATGCTGTTGCCATGGCAACACAATGCTCGCTATGAAACACGGTTTTCTCATAACTTCAGTGAAAATACTCCAAACAGCCCAAAACATCACAGGTTTGGTAACGATGCAGCCATCAACGCATCTAAGCGTATTATGGGGCTGTCATCAAATGCCGTTGCCATGGCGACAGATCATTCGTTATCAAGTTAGTTCAAAAGTTTGCAGTTCAAATATTCTACTGCTTCTCCAATCCTTTTCACTTTCTTTTCTTCTCTTATCACACATTCAAGCCCCCAGTGTTCATGTATCATTTCAATCTAAATTATTCACTTTCTTCTTACACATTACATTTCAGCATAGCAATTCAGCGTCAGCTTTTCAGCATAAAGCATTCCCACTTGCAATTTCTTCAGGAATTGCATTCTCTAGTTTTAGAACTAACCTGCTCCATGTCTATAAGATACTGTTTGATGAATGCTGACATGTTTCTAAATATGGATTGAATTATAACAGGTAAAGCAGATGGAGAATCAGTGGCCAGCCAGGGGCTACTGTGAGAGATGTAATTCCAGAATGAGAATACCAAAGAAGTTGACCTGTGATAATTAAACCATTTTGTAATGTGGATATATTAACAGATATTAGAGTGGGGTTTGAAATGTAGAACGAACATATTACAGTTAAGTTAAGCTAAAACATAGTAATGTGATTAGACAGAATTTAATTTAGACAACATCTTGTCTCTAGCCTGGTAAATAATTAGAAGTAAAAGCCATAGACTTTATTTTTAGGTCATTATGGGGATAGCAAAGAACACAAGACTAGTTTCACAAGGACAATTTAAATTCATAATATAAAGACATTTGATGACAGTATGTTGGAATTCTGCATTCATTTTTTCAGCTTGATAACATCCAAGCACTGACAGCTAGAAGCAGTATTGCCAGGTGCAATCGATGGGACTTCTGCACACGATCCAGGCAGAGAATGACGCACCTTACAGGACAGACACACCCAGGAAATCATTCACTTTGGCGGCATCATGATTTTAGTAGCTGTTGAATCCATAACAGTGTGTTTCTTTAACATGAGTAGTTCATTATTATATTTCGATTTTAAATAGGATTTCAAGGATTTTATTTAGGAATAACACAGATGCTCATAATAGTGAACCAGAGGCTGACTTAAAATCACTGGACCCACAACAAGTACCTCCTGGAGTAATCCCCCTCACCGACTAACTCCCAGGGGCTCTGGCCCGTCTCCAAAAAACCCTCGATTATTTGAAGTACTAGAAGACTCTTCTTAAAATTAAGTTCAAGGGAATAAATTGTAGGGAAGGACAATAAAAGGTACAACTGAAACCCTGCAGGTTAGAGCCAGCCTTAGGCCCTTAGCATTCTAAACAGTCACTACATTACATTACATTGCATTTAGCTGCCGCTTTTATCCAAAGCGACTTACAATAAGTGCATTCGACCAGGAAGACATAACCTTGAAGAAAACAGAATCATATAAGTACATCAGGTTTCATAGAGCCAAACATTTCAAGTGCTACTCAACTGGCTATAGATAAGCCAGTCCTTTATTAGTATATAAGTGCTCTGTTAGCAGTTCTTTGTTAGTAATTCTATCGCTCGAAGGGGAGTCGAAAGAGATAAGTTTTCAGTCTGCGCCGGAAGATGTGCAGGCTTTCTGCTGTCCTGATGTCAATGGGGAGCTCATTCTACCATTTTGGAGCCAGGATAGCAAACCCACGTGTTTTTGCTGATGGGAACTTGGTTCCCCCTCGCAGCGAGGGTGCAGCGAGTCGTTTGGCTGATGCAGAGCGTAGTGCACGCGCTGGGGTGTACAGTTTAACCATGTCCTGGATGTAGTAAGGGCCAGATCCATTCACAGCATGGTACGCAAGTACCAGTGTCTTGAAGTGGATTCTAGCAGTTACTGGAAGCCAGTGAAGGGAGCGGAGGAGCGGAGTGGTGTGGGAACATTTAGGAAGGTTGAAGACCAGATGAGCAGCTGCATTCTGGATGAGCTGCAGAGGTCGGATGGCACATGCAGGTAGACCAGCCAGGAGGGAGTTGCAGTAGTCTAGGCGTGAGGTGACGAGAGCCTGGACCAAAAGCTGCGTGGCTTTCTGTGTCAGCTGGGGACGCATCCTCCTGATGTTGTAAAGCTTGTATCTGCAGCAGCGGGTTGTAGCAGCGATGTTTGCAGTGAAGGACAGGTTGTTATCTAGGATCACACCCAGATTCCTTGCAGTCTGAGTCGGGGAAACAACTGAGGTGCCGATGTTGATTGTTAGGTCAAGAGTGGGACAATCTTTTCCCAGAAGGAAAAGCAGTTCAGTCTTGTCAAGGTTGAGCTTGAGGTGATGAGCAGACATCCACTGAGAGATGTCAGCAAGACAAGCAGAGATGCGTGCGACGACCTGGGTCTCTGAGCGGGGAAAGGACAGAATTAATTGGGTGTACGTCACTACACTGAAAATACAGTATGGAAAGTATTGCTCACCCCTTAAAAGGTGTGAAAGGAGGGAATTGAAATCTTCATACTATAAATGATTAGGCATGGCACTGTGAACTCAAGAGTACTACCAGAAAACTATAACTCTACTGTTGGAGAAATACTGTTTTCTCCACTCTTTGGGTTTGTTTTAATGCACTGATATCATGTGTGGCTCTAAACTGTGTACGACCTTGCAGCTGCTCTTTATGATAGGAGGAGGCAGGGCATTTCAGGTTGTTGATCTTTATCAGGAGACAGGCACATACTTGTTTGTACTTGGTCTGTGGATCACTGATCTCTGGAGACCTCAGCTGAGCAATTATATTCCTCATCACAACTGAAATAAATAAATGGTCCGACTCCTTGCTTCGCAGAGGAATTCTGAAACACGACAATTTGGACGCTGACCACAAATATTTAAAAAAAGATGATATAGATACACAGAAAAAAACTGAACAAATACATTTGAAAAATAAAATGCTCAAATGATCATTTTGCGTTCTGTTCTTTGTCTTTATATTTTGAAATATTTCACCAATTAATTCATTATTTTATTTATTTATCTTTGTATTTTTACATGTATCTACATATTCAATCTTCTATTTATTCATGTTTATATATATTTTTTAAAATAGTGTATTTACCTGTTTAGTGTACTTTTTTGAAACCTGTAAAATATTGTATTAACTTAACTGCGTTCCTTTTTTCTTATTCTAGAATCAGAAGCAATGGGCCAGAGGGAATTCTGTTTAGCTTACGTACGTTGTATTGACTAATGCAGTGCCTCGGCCCTGCTGCTGCAAAACGGGGGGTGTTGTTTGCTTAACTATTTTTGATTCAAAGCTTACTAATATTAAATAGGTTGAATGTCCAAATGGACTTCCCAAAAATACACCCACCAAGTGTGAACGGACAAACTGTTCTCGAGATTGTAATTGTTCTTATGTATTCAGGCCCGGTTCTAACCAATTGGCTGCCCTAGGTGAGATTTTAGCTGGTGCCCCCCGCCCCCCCCTGCCAGAAAATCGTACAGTTGAAAAGATACAAATATACACAATAGAATATATAAAGAATAAATAAAAAATCTCTACAAAAGACCAATACACTACAAAAACAGAAGGGCCTATGTCGTCTATGCCAAAAACCGGCCCTGTATGTATTACATGAAAACAATTAATTTAGTTCATGCTATTTTTCAGAACACTTTTAGCTAAATATACTTGTTTTAAAGTAGTGGGGACATGTCCCCAGCATTAAGGACATGTGCTTCCTATAGACCCAGCAGCAGGCGTTGCTTTCTGAAAATCACTTCACTTCTCCGTAGGCCCACCCACCAGAAGCAGTCAGCCGTCTCCATGTTCTTTATAAAGCAGCAGCAGTCTGCCTCCTGCACACAGCTGCTGATCACCCACCAGACCAGGTAAGAACACTCTCCTCTGGCAGGAGCAGGACTCTGTGGAACATCCTGTCATGTTTGTTGATTTATTTATCAGGTTTATATTATAGGATTCATTTTTAGTTTATAGTCCATGTTTAGATTTAGGTTTATGTTTAGTCAACATGTCTCATTGTTCACTTGTTAAATTACAGTCACTCAAGTCTCGTCTTGCACTGTCTGTCATTGCACCTCCTGTTTTATTTTGAACGTACCTTTCCCTTGTTGATAGTTGCCACCTGTGTCCCCTTAACTCTTGCAGATAGGCCTCGTCTCTCTCGTGTCGGCAAGAAGCAGCGTTCCAAGCCAAGAACCAACCGTATGTAGCATTTTCCCTCAAGTTGACTTAGTTCTATGTTTTTGTAGTTTGCTTTTACTACGTATTGCCTCTTAGACTGATTGTTGTTGTACTTTGTTTGTTCTTGATGTAAATACTTTTTTGATCTTGTAATCTTGTCCGAAGTCGTGCATTTGAGTTCAAGCATGTGTCACGTTCCTAACACTCTAAAATCTAGCATTTTAAAACGCACCTACTTATTAACTCATAATACAAAAATACACATATATGTAAAATGTTCAATGTATTGTATTACTTCAGGTCATATATATATTTTACGTTACCCTCTGGTTTACTTCATGTTGCTTGGTGCTTGGAGTCATGTCACCCTCGGTGTATCGGTAAGAGTGAGGGCACTTGTTTGTGTTAATGTCAATATAATACATAACTCATATGTTTTGTATTGAAAAAACTCTGTATAGTTGCACATGGGCGTGAATAGTTGTTTTTTGCTATTTCGATATTTCCACCCACAAACAAGTATGTGATGTGGCACTTCACTCCATGCTGTCCATTGACATGCCTAAGCACCAAAGCATTTATACATCCAGGCAAAGCATGTGTCAAAGTCATGGCCAAGGTGGATTCAAGCTATTTCAGAGATGATACACGAAACACAACATACACCGTTTACTATGATGCTATGTTTTTTCACCGTTTCTGTAATTCAAATGAAATCTGTTCCTGGCTCTGGAAAGGTTTTAATATAACATCCATCTCTTAATCTGGCTGATGGTGTACGGGAGAGCTGTGCAGAGTCTAACGTAACAATAGTCTCTCATTTTAAGGGTATGGATCAAGAGATGTTTAACAACACATCTTTTAAAGGGATATTTTGAAGTGGTCAGCTTTTGCAGGGTACTGCCTGTCAAATGAAATGAAAATGAAATCAGAATGTGACTGTTTTGTGCTCTGTGTGTCTGAACAGGTCTTGCACAGCCATCGGGGCGGCGGCAGTCATGGGTTCAGGAAAATCGTGCCACATTGACATTGAGAATGAATGTACTATCTACATACTTGTCAACCCAAGGTGTCTGAAATATTCCATCAAGTAAATAAGTTCTCCTTAAATATTCTCTGATAATCAAAGTTTTTCTGCCCCCCCCCATGAACAGGATATACACTGATAGTGGAGTCTGTGCTACACCTTTACCACCGACTGTTGCCCCTGGAGCCTGTAGGAAAGGGATTGCAGAGTTCAGGAAGCATGAAGGAACAGCTACAGGATGTGTTGGCGTTGTTACCTACGATCTCATGAACAAGGATACAAATCTGACAGCTGAGAAAATAGCTGTCATGTTTTCTGCGCCCTTTAATTTGAACCGGTACAAAAACTTGTACGCATTGGGAGTTTTTGATAAGTGCATACGGTGTGATAAGGCTTTTTATCATCAGATGTGCTATGATGAACCAACCACGTTCAGCAGACAAGATGCGGATGGCTCCTGTCTCACTTATGAGGGGGTTCACATAACCATCAAGGGAACAATGTCAGATACTGACAGACCTGTCATCAAGGTGCAAGTTAGCCAAACAAGAATTGAGTGAGTCAGCAGTGGCTCTCAATAATGAATCATCAGGGTTAAAGGTATCAGAGTTTTCATTTGCTCTCGTTATCAAATCAGTAATTGCTTTGTACTCGGCTGCATTTTGGGTCGTCTGTGTTACACAGATACACAAAGTCACATGACTTGAAAGCCTGCAACGTCTTATACTATTCTCTTTATTTGTATCTCTACACCCTTGAACACGTATAATTACTTTTACCGGGGTTCAATTATATCACAACTTGTTAAGTCTGACATTTGTGGGAAAATGCTTTGAAAATCTAAATAATTTCACTTTGTTATGATTCCCTTGTTAATGAGAAATATGATATAATAGTAATAGGTTGTCTTTTTTCTTATGTGTTGTGCTCCATATATGATTAATACAACTAAATAAATAAATATGTAAAATGTAAAAACTGAAGTGTTCTTTTTCTTCTGTCTGCTCCCTGTTAATACTTTAGTTCACAAAATACTTGGAGTCCATTGGTCTGCACATGATGCACATGAACCACCTTTTAGACAAAGTTAGCACAATCTTACAGACTGACACTTACAGTTCTCGTAGTGGCTCAATGCTCACTTGAACACCGCTCAGCCACTTCTAAATGTTACTCTGTGCTTTTCTTGCACACCAACACAAACCTACTGAGCATCCTTTCTCTGACTTATGACCAAATTATATGAAGTGTTTCACGGGCCATCATATAGCTTATTATGGCCCAGCGCCTAAGTGTTTTGGGGCCCTGTATCCGTATAAACAAAAACAACGGAAGCACAGGGGAAGACCAGGAAGTATAATCAATGTTTACCCCAAACTACAGGAAAACGCAGGTCTGCATGTTCTATTTGCCGATGGATGAGGAAGATTGCTGGAAGATCCAAGTATTTCTGTTCTCGAGAGTGAGGCTATTTTGGCTTCATGCAACTTTCAGAGGAATGCACAGCCCTACTTCCAATGCTGTATCAACAATTATTTAAACACCTACATTACCCGCACATCTAAATAATTACATTTAGAACAATTCAAACAAAGTGTTTGTTTGGCTTACCGAGGGACATGTCACAAACCTAAAGTCATTTCTGTTTCCTGTCTTATTTTGAAATGTATTTTCTCCTGTCTTGTTCTACTTCCTGTATCTTTGTTTCCTGCTTGATTATTTTCAATTTCTACACCCGTGTTTTGTTTGCATGCCCTCCCCAGTGTGTATTGTGTCTGTGATAAGTCCTGTGTGTGTCCCTTGTTCTGTGTTGGTTCATCATCTTTGTTCCCGGGGGAGGTCGCCTGCTCAGCCACTGGCCCTTTCCAGGCCGTCCGTGTGAGGTCCCCCCTTCAGCCACTGGCCCTTTCCAGGCCGTCCGTGTCAGGTCCCCCCTTCAGCCACTGGCCCTTTCCAGGCCATCCGTGTCAGGTCCCCCCTTCAGCCACTGGCCCTTTCCAGGCCGTCCGTGTTAGGTCCCCCCTTCAGTCACTGGCCCTTTCCAGGCCGTCCGTGTCAGGTCCCCCCTTCTGCCACTGGCCCTTCCCAGGCCGTCCGTGTCAGGTCCCCCCTTCAGCCACTGGCCCTTTCCAGGCCGTCCGTGTCAGGTCCCCCCTTCAGCCACTGGCCCTTTCCAGGCCGTCCGTGTCAGGTCCCCCATTCTGCCACTAGATTACATTCTGATAATATGTGAAAAAAGTCTGATAAACATACATGTAAAAAGTCCATTATATGATAGCATGTAGCATGTAGCAAGTATTTGAATAAATCTGAAAATAACCCGGAAAGATTAATAAAACATTTTCCAAAAATATTAGATTAATATCTGATAATGTTTGATAAAAAGAGTCATAGAAATACATTTAAAAAGTCCCTTAAAAATATCCTAAAATATTTGAATAATTCAGAAAAATCCCCCAAAACCAGAGGTGAGTATATTTAAATAATATGGAATTGAAAGAAATTGAATAAAAGGAATCACCATCACACACACACACACACACACACACACACACACACACACACACACACACACACACACACACACACACACCATTAGTATTTTAACTAACAATGAATGTTATCAGAATCAGAATCCCTTTATTCGTCCCAGAGGGTAGTGTTACAGCAGAAAAGAGCCAGCTTAATATGTACATACATTAAATATCATCTAGCTGATGCTTTTGTCCAAAGGGACTTCCAATAAGTGCAAAAACCATAAAGAATCAAACTCCAAACAACAAGGAAGGAGCAGATATATTCACTTCAAACAAGAACATACCATAGTAAGTGCTGTTGAATCAGATGCAAGGCCTGAATCAACTCAACAAGTGCTTTTTTGTGATTAAACAATCAAATTCACTCAGAAAATTCAGTCTTAAAAAAATCTAATAAAACACAATATTTAACTGGAATTGTACTGGGGGTAGATTTTTAAGTTGGGTACGACTCCTATACTCCAACCCACAAGCTGAAATCCTAACAAATGGACTTGTGTCATCTCCCGTTAAACTCAAGCGAGGAACAAGGCAGTCCCCTTTCTCCTCTCCTATTCACACCGGCCATTGAGCCACTAGCGATGGCAATCCGTCAACACGCCATTTTAACGGGAATACATATAGGAGGTGTAGAACACAGAATAGCTTTGTACGCGGATGATGTTATTTTGTTCTGCTCTGAGTGTGAAAATCACACATGGAAGTAACCATCAACCTGTGGACTTAAGTTATCATCATCTGGTGTGGTGGAGTTTAGCCACCAGAGGGCGCCATGTCAATACTCTCTTATAGATCAAACACAGCACGTGTCTGCTCTGACAGTATATTTAGCTTTTTAATCTTTAATTACTTTAACACTGCAAATGTCCCTGCTGTGGGACCAACATTTATATTAATTAAAATATAATTAAAAAATAAATAGAACTGTATTTTTTTTCATTCATTGTTTACTTTTTAAATAAATATCAATATTAAATACAGTATTCAGGCAATAGAAACACAAGAATAATTGAAACAATTACAAAAGCAATAATAAAAAAAAGAAACAAAAGAAACAAAAACAACAGCAAGAAAACAAAGCAGTGTCAGTCTAACGTTGATCCAGTTGTTTCTCCAGCTCTCTGGTTGAGCAGCAGCTGTGGAGAATACAGTTAGTGTCATGTGGACGTGGAGAAAACCTCTTTTCATACAATGTTACTATCTGTCAATGACCTACATATTTATTTACCATTTCACATAGAGCTACCATCTGCATATTTTTTTAAATACAGCACTTCTACTGAGGCTACTCACCAGTGACGCTGAGCCAGCATATGCTATAGTTACTCCCATCAGGTGTGCGTATTGTTGTGAGTTTTCATAGTATGTTTAATACTTAAAAACGAAAGTTAGTTATAATCAAATATAATCAATTATATTCTTGTATAACCCACAATGAAAATGCTTCATATTTTAAGTTTTTCTATAGTTACAGTATAAACAAAACAGTAGGCCGTTTTCTTCCTCTCCTGTGACAGCAGTCCACAGGGAGGGGGGGCTCCAGGCTTAAGGAGAAACACATTAAAGGCCAAAAAGAGTTCATGTCCTTTTCACACTAACATGAGAAGGTGGGTCTTATGTCATAAAGCTATGGAACATGTCGGGACATGTTTAGCCCTGTACATTATAGGGCATGCGCAGTTTTCCACAAATTGGGTGTAGAGGAGGAGTTTGTTTTTTGGGTTTTCGATCCAGTTTTTTTAGTATAAAGAGACTGGTTTTTTGAGAGAGCGCGAGAGAGAGGGGGGGTAACCCCTGGTAGACTCTCTCCCGGTAGGCTGTGTGCTTCAGAGCTGGGTAACTAGCTCTCGGTAAAGGTTCTGTCAGACGGGGTAAATATCTCTCGAATTTCTTGGTTGTTGGCTGAGTGGAATGATTTGATGAGAGATGTGTTTGTGAATATCATAACCTGCGACCTGTGAGGACCTTCCTCCGAAACCCTTGGCGGATAGGAATGTGTTTTTGACAGGTTAATCCGCCGTCTGTGTCGGAAAAAGTGTATGAATATTATAACCCGTGACCTGTGAGGACCTTCCTCCGAAAATCTTGACGGACAGGTATGGGTTTTTAAGTGTTAATCCGCCGTCTGTGTCGGAAAAAGTGTATGAATATTATAAATACCGCCATCTGTGAGGAAAATCTCCCCTCCGAAATTGCGGACAGGTATGGGTTTTTAAATGTTATACCCGCCGTCTGTGTCGGAAAAAAACGGTATGAAACTGATGTAAATTGAGTTGGTGAAATGAAAAAGTTGAATGCGCTTTTTATTGTCACCGGTCTTTTTACGAGGAAATACCTCTAAATTCTATCGGGAGAATTTTAAAATGACACAACTGAAATGGGCAGTTGAAATTAAAACATTTTGGTAATAAATGTAAGACTGCGAATTAAAGTTTCATATTTGAACATGATCACAGAGCCAGGTTTTTAGTATGATTATAATGTTGTAAAGAGAGAAGGTAAAAACCCTGTATTAGTTTGGAACTATTTTTCTTCAAATAAACTGAATCCCACCTGTTGGATTGGGATCATTTAAAAGACACCTGTGCTCTCCTCTCCTGCGTCAAAGGTAAGATTGCACCCTGCCACACACACTTAGGTAGGAGCACACTCCATTTACTGATATCAAAATCCTTCGGGATCCCTTAAACAGATTAAAAAAGAGTTGTCTGAATTGAAACAGCAGTTAATTGAACCGGGTTCTTCGGGGGGTTAGGAAGAGGTGAGATCTTGCTGACGTTGGTGGATCTGAGCCAAGCAGCAACCTTACATAGACTCAATAACTTCGGAAAGGTCAATTAGTAGGTCAGAGTAATTTACCGGAATAAATTATCAGGACCTCTCCGACTCTAAACAGTATGGCACACACATAAAACCCAGAGTCACTGGTCCTGAGTCTGGAGACATGAAGTGTGAGGCGTCCTTCTTTGAGGACGTCTTTGTCCCACTGGACTCGTCCTGCAAACTGTGGATCCTGAGACTGGGAGTTCATCACCTTTGTATCGATGAAACAGGACGTAGGGTCTGCTCTCAGTAGACATCTCACAGTAGGTAGAAATGGATCTGAAGTTAGTGTCTCTTCTGGTGCTGAAGGTCCACTCCAGGCAGTGGCGGTTCTAGAACATTTTACATGGGGGGGGCAAGGGGTCATGCCAGGGTGGCATGGGAGGGCAGACAGTACGTGGTATTTTATACTGTATATACCCTATTTATTGCTAATTCATGCCCTAACACAAGTGTTCTTAATGCACAAGAGAAACAAGGTGTTCAGACAAACAATCGGGTGCCCTTTGAGTCCCCCAAGCTTACCTCAACCATTTTAAATGAAAGGAAACTACCAAATGTATTTTATAGCAATGAATTAATGGAAC